TCGCTCTTAGGTTGGAAGACATCGCTCTTAGGTTGGAGGCCTTCGCTAGTATGGGAATCTGCTGTCACATGCAGAAAGGAGGAAATGTCAGCCCTTGCGGACTTTTTTTTTCCGCCTTTCACTTGCATTGCAGAAGCATCGTAAAGACTTTCACTCAACCGTGCCTGCCTCGATGAATCCAGAGGAACCTCATGCTATGCGCCATGCATGGGAGTTTTCCTCTCTCCTGGCCAACTGGTCTGTCCCGGATCCATGGCAGTTCGACCTTGCACCGTGCTCCTAGTAGTAAGAATGCCCCTAGTAGCGATGCCAGGAGCCCCTAGTAGCGTCCTTGCTCCTAGTAGTAAGGCCAGGAGCCCCTAGTAGCTTCCAAAATCACTCTTACTGGAGAGATAGCTTGCTTATATAATTGTGTCCTTGAGCGGCTGCATTGCATGTCTTTCGATGGCCTCAATTTTCGGATGCTCTTGAGCATGCCCAAGTTGGAATTTCTTGGATGGAGAATGATGGAGATGGTCTTGAGCTTTATGTTCTTTGCGAGGAGTTATATTCCCCTTCGTCGTACTGCTTCCTCTGGAGAGGGCCACTTTGCTTGGGCTCGCTCGCAGGCTGAGGCCATTGCCTTTGGATATATTTGGATATACTTGGAACGACTGCGCAACTCAGTTTGCCGTCATTGTAGGCCAAACTGTCTCCTTGTGCGGCAGTACCATACTGCCTGCGTTTATCTGTCGTGCTCGGATGTGTTCTCTTTACCGCCAAGGGGCAGGCTCTTGTGTCTTTAGATGGTCCCACGCCTTGTTTTCCTGAACAGGCCCGTGTGATTGAGACAATTCAAGATGAGTTCCAACAGCGTACTCGACTGGTTTCCTACGGCTGGTGGCCATGCCTTGAGGTGAATCCCTTGCCTGAGGAGCCCAGGTTCCACTGGTGCCCTCCGAGTGGAAGCTTCAACATGCTTCAGAAGAAGCTCAAGGTTGGCAACAGGCTTGCCAAGTTGTGTTTGCTTGACGACCCATGATGGGGTCGTGGTGCTACCTGTTGCTGTTCGTGTTCTGAGCTGTTCTGCACGCCTTTTCTCACCTGTTCGCATCTCTCTTGGCTGTGTGTTGCAGCCTCATCGACGACACTCTGGTCGGGGCGATGAAAAGATCTAAACACAATGGTTGCACCCAAATGAATTAAACACGACACGCATCAAGCTCAAATTTCTCACCTGTTCGTATCCAGTCTCCGACACCAAGCCCCTTCCCCGCCACCTGTGCTAGGGTGGGCCTCCTTCTGCAAGTAAAACAGATGCCATTGCTAATAGGTTGGAGGCCATTAGGGTGGAGGCCATCGATGGCCTCCAACCTAAGAGCGCTGGGCTCCGCCCTACTAGCGATGGCCTCCAACCTAAGAGCGACGGCCTCCAACCTAATAGCTGTTAAGTTATTTGATGTTGTTTGTCTTCACTTGCTTGGCTTTCATCGACATGGCTCAAAGAGAGCGCTGGCAAGGTTCAAGGTGCACAGCTGCTGCACAGCTGCTGCCACCGACTTTCTTCCACAATTTCTTTTTCTTGGTTGGGGCCTACGCTGGAATAGTGAAACCTCATTGTATTCGCCTTACTTGTGACGTCAGTGTATCTCACTTGTCTCAACCTGACTGGGGGCCATGCTTGGATAAAGATGCGTGGAACTTAGGTAGGCATGGAAGGGCAAAGATTCCCCGGCTTTCTCCACGCCCCCAACAAAAAACCGCGTGGTGCCAAATCGGCTAGGCCAAGTGTTCATCTCTCATCATCTCTTGTTTTGATCCTTGGCGAAAAGTATTTCAGGCGCCGATGTTCCTTCCCAGCCTTTGCCCGTCTCCTTTCCATTCTGCAGAGCGAACTCGGTGTGGGTCTGACTTAATTTGGTTTAGTTGAAACCAGTGGCGGATCTTCGTCGACATTCTTGGGGTCTCCTTTCTCCGAAAACCCGCGGGACGATCCTGCTTCCATTTCTTCCTGGCTCCGGCCTCGGCTCGTGTTTGAAGGCCTGAAGGGACAGTACGAGTTCGCCATATCCTTTTCCGTCATCCACAGCTGCAGGGTACTCAACAAACCTGTGCACGTGCAAGGTCAAAGAAGTAGGACTCTGAAAGCTTTCACTCATTGTGAATCCATTTAGAGTATCAGCCCAACAAACTCCAGAGCTTTGATCACCTTGCTATCTGCAGGCGCCAGGCTGATCCTATGGCCCGTCGTGAGGGGGCAGCCCGGAATGCGGGATCCTCAAATGCGCATCTCCAGTTCCATACAAGCGATTACAAGTGCATTTAGGTGCATTTTTTGTGTCTTTCGCCGGTATACATTCTATACAGTGAGGGTGGATGGGTGGAGGGGGGTGGTGACTGAGCGCAAGATCGAGACAAAGCTCAATTTTTCCAGTGTGTGGAATTGGCGATGTAGTCCAATGGGTGGAAGTCAACGCCCTCCAATAGAGTTCAAAAAGGGAGAGCAAAGGCGCTCCCTTTGCAAGCTTCAGCAAAACCAGCAACTCTGGAGCACCAAGCACCTGTTTGCAGGTGTTGGAGGCAGAGTCGAATGCCTTGACAGCACTTCAGCGTCTCCTGCAGGATCTTGCTGAGATATTTAATTCGGATCACTTGTTTGGCCAAAGGCAAAGGTTTTTCTCTTTCTCTGTGTTTTACAGTCCATGGACCTGAGGACCCGAACCAATTCATCAAGAGTTGCAAAGAGCCACCTGGAGCGTAACCAGCCGTGGTTTCATTTAGCAATCAGATCTAGTTGTGGCTTTGAGCACCGACTGCCATAGGCTTTCGGACTGCCAGAGTGCTGAACAACCAGGGCAGCTGCCACTCGGCTGTGATAATTGAAGGTGAACCAGACATAGACAAAAGACCATCATGGGTTCTTGTCATGCCAGTTATACAATTATATACAGTAATGCGCGCCAAAAGAGTCAGCCAAGCAGAACCTCCAGTAGGCCTGCCCTCTTTTTCATCTGATTGTAGGGGTACTGTGGGGTAGCAATTGTCAGTCGTGCAGTGGATTCATTGTTATCAAATCTAGAGTTCCCGTCCCTTCTAACTCGCCTCGTTAGCAAGGTTTGTTTATTGGTCTTTGTTATGTGCTCCTTTGGCAAGCTAATTTAGAGTTTCAGTTTAAGGTGTTGGTCTTTGAATTGTACACGCAGCATTTCTCGACTATAGCACTGATAAACGTTTACTTTTCGAGTTGCAAATAGTAACGGTGATGTAAGGGCGGGAGATCTTGGCTGGTTGGCGATCCGCCCTTGGACTCACCGCTTTGCAAATTGTCACATCCTACATCATCCTACATTCTTCACTTATTGCTTCCTTTGGTACTAATCAACAACATTCTTAAATTGCTGAAACTTCTACGTTAGGCGTGGCCAGCAAGAGGCAAGCTTTGAGGAGGTTGCCTTTGGCCAGTGCCACAATCCTTCCATTGGAGCGCCCAATGTAGCACTGTGAGTCACTTGAGTGAGGCTTGCCTGTAAACAGCATTGGGGATTTGGTCTCAACAAGCCGGGGTGTGTCTTGGCTCAACTGAGTATTTGCGAACCTAGCAACCAGTGCATTGCTACTAGTAACAAGTGCATCGCCACTAGAACAAGGAGGTTACTACTAGTAACAAGAAGCTACTACCTTCCGCCTTTTTACTCGACCATTTGCAGTTGAGGTCCACATTATCCAACGCCTTGGCTGAGTTGTGGCTTGGTGCGAGGCTTTTCAACATGAGTGGACAAATGCTTGGCTCATCCAACACCCACATACTGTAGTCTCCCCATGCCTGACCGCCTGCCAATTGCTGATTGGTTATGTCACACCCACCAGTACGTCCCAAGAATTGATCGAAGGTCCCAATTTCTGTTGCTTAATTGGCTGGATGCTAGGTCAAGGTCATCCAGCTGAACTACAACGCTGCCGACAAGTTGCCCAGGGCTGTGTTGAGGTTGGGTTGCAGAAAGAGCGCTGGCAGATACCATGGGGACAGTTCGTGTTCAATTCTAGTAGCTAGGTCTCTGTGTTGCTCCACACCTTACATACCTGAACTGTTTGCTCGATGAGTACGCCTCACACCTTTTTTGACATATTGTGGCATTGCGGCTACTGCTCATGTGCCATGTGAACATTGAATAGAATGGCCAGAATGGCATCGACATCAGGTGGAGAAATGCTTGCTGCCTGAGCAGGGCCAGAGCAAGCGTGGCAGTATCCAAATTGTAGCCAAAATGCAGACCTCATGCACTTGAACATTTTTGCAGCAAATTACAAACTCTTAGTGACGCCCTCTAGAGCTTTGCATGCCACATGTCAAAAAGGTTTTGGACTACAACTACACCCAGACTTACTTGATGGGATACTCGTTGACTACTTTCTTCCTGGATAGTCTTGATTCATGTCCATGAAGAGTTATTTTTGGCTCAGCTACACAGCTATATTTGCGCAAACAGGTGATCTGGCAGCAGGCAGATTCTCAAAAAGCAGCATGCACAGCAACCTTCAACCATTTGGTAGATGAGCTGCATTTTAAAGACCAAGACCTGGAAGCTTGGTGAAACTGCATGCTTTGGGACGCGTGCTCCGTGCGCTGGCGGGAAGAGCAAGAAGGCAAGAGCAGTAGCCTGGGACGGTTTCCCCAGACGAATAGTGTTACTAGTAGCTTCTTGTTACTACTAGTAAGGCACTTGTTATTAGAAGCGATGCACTTGTTACTAGTAGCTTCTTGTTACTAAGCGAAAGTTGCAAAAGAACGTTGATGCTGTAGGCCATGGCATCTCCTGATGCCCCTGAGCGGCGGGAGGCCACATCTGACCGAGCATTGAGCAGTCTGCCTGCGCCGGGGCCTTCTTTGTGTGTGAGAACACTTTTCCGACACTTTGAAACATATGCAGTGCACAAGGATAGAATTAATTCGGTCCTGCTAAAGCCTAAAGCCTTGCAACGATTGGTCAACTTGAGCCAAGGCGGTCAGAGCGAATGGTATCTGCACCAAGCGCCAAACGGATTCGAGTGCTTTGTGCTTAGACGTGCTTGGGCGCGCTTGGGCTTAGAATTATCTGCAGAATTCAATGCTTGGTCACGCCGCATGTAAAGGAGCCCTCCAAGCTGCACCAAGGTCTCCTCCGTGTGGCCTCAAGCCCGAGCTGGTCTTCAAAGAGTTGATTGTTGACCAGGTCTTTCGACCGCTTTTCACGACAAGAATCAGTGACAATGAGTGACATGTGCCAATGCGATCTAATGTGTGATGCGCCAGTATATTGTTTCGGACACGTGAGGTGCAATGGAATCGCAATGACAACGACAAGTTCTCAGCCCATGCAGATACAAATCACAATCTTTTTGCGGCAACCTCAATTATTGTCGGCACTGAGTTTCCCGGGTCCTTTTGAATGCGGCGAGCGTGGTATATCCAGGTCAGTGACACCAACCGGATTGTTTGCTACGACCGTGACGGAAAGTACCAGCCTCTCCTTTCTGGTATCGAGGCGGGATCTGTCGCCCGCCTGTGTCGCAGGTTGCAGACTGGACTTATTGTTATTTCCCTTTTTGCAAGTTCGTCAGCCCGGATTGTTTGCCTTCATTTCATTCCCAGTCTTCACATGGCAACAAAATCAGCTAATCTGCAGCCGAGTCATGTGAGCATGCCATTTGTTTGATCGTCGCAGCCTCACCACATCGTTCCGAACGGTACAGCAGACTTTGCCTGGCACTCAGGGACAAACACTGCCGAGAGTGCACCTACAGACCAGCAACTTCTGTACCGGCACTTCAGGTGGTTCTTCTGCGAAAATCGGACAAGCAGAAGCTGAGCAAGGTACACCTCTTCGCTTCGAGTTCAGATCTGAATGCATCAGTTTGACAATTGTTTCGAGTGCCGTTCCCAACCGCATCGGCCAACATCGCAATTTCTCAAGTTGCAGATATCTTGTGTCATTGCATGTCATTTCGTGATTCATCTGCAGGTAGATGCAAAAGGGCATGTAGCCACCATTCTGGAGGTGGGAGTGAAGATAGAAGAAACAGTTACATTGGATTCCTTCTCAGCAATTTCCTGGCAGTCATCAGCTCCACTCTACGGACCCGACATTTGCCCGAATGGCTGCAATCTCGGACCAGAGAAACTGTTGGAATGAAAGTGAGAGAGAGAGAGAGAGAGACGAAAGAGCGATTTGCAGGCACTAGTAACTATATAGAAGCTACTAGTAACAAGGTGCATCGCTACTCGTAGCTAGAAGCTACTAGTAACAAGGTGCCTTACTACTAGTAACAAGAAGCTACTGGTGAGCACTTTCAATTAGTTTCCTGACTTCAGAAAGAGAGAGAGAGAGAGAGAGTGTGGAGAAAGGTCATTAGAATGAAAGTTTGTGTGCGTGGCTGAAGACAGATAAGACGGACACAGTTCCAGTTTCACAGCTCGCCTGAGGCGATGTAGTCCACCACCCATCTCAAAGCCGCCTTGAAAGACGCAGGAACGTGGGGGTGAAAGGGCATACGAATAAAGGAGCAACCTATTCAAATGATTTGTAAGTTGTGTCAAGATGCTGCAGATGCACCTCCTTTTGTGCTGCTGCTTCTGTACTGTTCAAAACTTGCTAGAATTGACATTGTTATTCGTGCATATTCATGTGCATATTCATGCGCCATGTGCTTCCACCAACAGCACTCTACCCAGCAAGGAAGACCTAGGTGGGAAGTTGCTTGTGACACTAGATTTGGCAGTGTCCAGTAGTATATTACCTTTTGCATGCAATTGTTCAAACGAATCCAGCTGATACCACCAAAGGGCAGTCTTCCAAATGAGATTCCATCTACAATATAGGCATTGAAGTTGATGTTCTGCGTGGTAGGGGGTTCATTCGGGTGAGTTGCTCAGAAAACGAAGTTCTTCGTGATATCCAGTCTGCTGGGACAGGGGAGGATGACACTGATCATGTGAGAACGTTTGCTTGTTGGTGGTTGTGTGCCACTTGGAGCATGATCCCAATGCGTAACACCTTTGAGACATGTTCGCAACCATAGATAACAAAGGACTCATATGACAGGAGAGACATATGTGTACACATATAATATTTATAGATTTATAAAGGAACCTAGACCTAGGCCCTATTTAGTTACTTTTTCACTTTTCCTTTTCTATTTTCAACTGACCTAGGTGAAACACATAATTCCATGTGACTCACTGACACCAATACTTGGTGATCCAGGTCGTACCTGGAATGTTTCTACTAGCGACCTCCAACCTAGTAGCTTCTTGTTACTAGTAGTAATGCCAGGTGCAACTACTAGCTTCTTGCTCCTAGTAGCGATGCCCTTTGTTCCTAGTAGAATCTTGTTCCTATTAAACCTCGATGCTTTGAAATCCCTTGGCCATAGGCTGCGTGCTTTTTTTTGTTGTGTGTGTGTTTGTATACACGCCGGTGTGTGCGTTCGTGCGTATGGGTGTGTGGGAGCTACACAGTAGGTAGTAGCTCTTTTGATGTAAGAGCACCATTGCCACAGGTGGAGACCTGAATATTTAGTTTTGTTCGTCCCATAAATAGCTGTAATAATCCTGGCAAGGAACACCTCTAGCAGAGAATAGTCTGAGCATTCAAGTTTGATCAGAAATCTAGAGGACATCTCACAGACCAAGGGGTTGGGCTCTACAACCGGGTCAGCAATATATTGTTCGCATATGTTCACATATACCAATGCCATTGTCTACTTTTCTATACTATATAGGAGTTAATATACGTTAATTATTGACAGTTATATAATATGAGTTAATCGGTGATCTGACTGTGGCAGGGATTCGTGCACACATCTAGGACTCACTGATCACATTTGCTTGCACGAGCGCTTTCACCACCACCACCACCACCACCACCACCACCACCAAGATTCGGCCGTGGATTCCTTCCCAGTCCCAACAACGAGCTTGTGGCGAGCATCGAAGGCGGTAGAGGGAAGGTGCCACTTTCAGCAATGCTTCATGTCATGGACACGAGAGTTGCGGCAAGCTGCGCACAGTTTCAGCTGGCATTGAGCGAGTCCTGATCGAGCAGAGCAGCGTTGTGTTGAATTTTTTCTTACACATCTGCCTGCAGGTAATCTCCTTTGAGGTTCGCCCTCCACTGACTCCACTGACCATCAAAGCCTGGTTTTTGTTATCAGCATTCATCAGCTATTGAATTTGTTAGTGTTTGATAGTTCTTGTGTTTTCTTCCAAAGAGAGAACTTCGCCTGCTCCCCACACTAACATTGCGTGAATTTGCGTTCCGGCTCAAGCTAAATCCGACCCACACACCCGCTCCAAGTGAGTCCGCTGCGGACATGGCGGACAAGGTGAGCTTGAAAGTCTTTTGTTGAGTTGAAGTCAAAAGGTAGCAGGCTCAACTGCTTAAAAAGCCTCAACACGCAAGCGGCTAAGGTTTTGTGTGACGTGTAACTCTTTCAATCTCTGACCCAAGGTCCTTTGAATCTATCTTTGTACCTTTGTAGATTTCAGAGGCTCCCATGTTTCCATCATGAGTCATTGAATCATGTGGAGGCTGAAGACCCGATGGAGGTGGATGAAGAGATGGAGGCTGTTTGATCTTTTGGTGTCCTTTCTGTCTCCCATCTCCTCAACAGGGGGGAATTATTTGATGGCTGTGACAGCAGTGATGTTTGCTGGATGCTGTGTTCGTGCCAGCTCTTTGCAGTATGGCTTGAATAGATTGC